TTTTTTTTTGGCTGTTCGTCCAACGGCAAGTGCAACTTGGTAAATTTTTTCATCCAGTTTTTCTGCACTCATCGTTTATGCAAATTTTTCGTTAGACAAACAGCAAGAAGAAGAAAAATGAATAATGGGAAAGACAAGAAGAAAAAAAACTGGATTTGCTTGAAGAGGAAAAACTGTGCTACAAATGAGACGACACGAGAGAAATGGATGTTGTTATATTACTGTTAAATGCTGATACATAACGGTATTCTCTTAAAGATGGCTAATAACTCGACAATGACAACAACAACAAGAACAAGAAAAACAATGAAAACAACAAAAGAAACTACTTATAGGCCCCGAAGAATTTTGTAGGCATTTTCTCAATGGCCTGTTCAAAATAATTGGCCAGCAACAAGAAAGCAACAAAAGAGAGGCGAACAAATTTTTGCCGCCGGACATGACAGAATAACAGCAACAACAACTACAACAAATGTAACACAATATAACAAAATCAACAACAACAACAACAACAGCAACAAGTACAAGAACAATAGCAACAAGTTGGCAAAGGCAGGAAGCCATAAGAAACATTGTCAGCTACACCCAACGTGACATCATCAAAATAATAAAATAGAAAGTATGTGTGCAGTGTGCACGACTATCAGATACCCTATATGGCTATGAAAAGCCACGAATAGTGAAATATGCAGAGAGAGTCAGCGAGATAGTGAGCACAAAATGAATGACCTTAAGTTACCCTGTACTCAACCAAAAATTAGCTGGGAGGATGAGCTGTGAATATATACCGAACAAAGGATGTCCTTAAAACTAATACAATCTTAAGGCCACAGCTCTGAAAAGACACAAAAAGCTAGATTTGCACGACTCTGAGATACCCTATGCTTGGCAATGTACAAACAAAAGTGAACATCTTATAGAGTGAAGTTCACTCATAAAAAGCACAACCTGCATATAAAATTCAGTGTACCCGCTTAACAATTGGTTAAGGGTATTAACAACTATTCTACACATTTGTTAGGTAATACGACAACTAGGCAGCGCGTTTAGCTTTCACGATTGCAATTAAAGGGCGTATGCGAAGACAGCGTAAAAGAAAGAGTATGGAAGCAGGGGAAGAGAGATGGAGAGATGTGTGTGTGTGAAAGAGACTTAGCAAGCAACCAACTGGCCGGCAGATGCCAATGACCCAGGGGCGTAACTGATGATGACCATTACCAACGACATTACCATTAACATTAGCCATTGCGAAGATGATGAGGCGCAATAAAAGCGTTTAAAATAATGGTAAAAAGCCAAATGCTAACATAAACAACAATTAAAACTAAACGCAAATGCGTAACGAACAACAACAGAGTGAGACGGGACGATAAAAGCAATGAGCTTGCAAAACAAAAAGAAAACAACAAAAACTAATATGTAAAACAACAACAAACTCAAGCTCACACACACAGAGACAAAGCACAAGACAATGACCCAGAGCAAAGAGAGCGGCAATAGCAACAACACTTCAAGAAGAGTCATTAGCATGAGGTTGAACTAGTTGCCCAGGCAACATGTTGACAGAGCAAGCGAGCAAGCAAGCGAGCGAGAGAGCATGCTCGTGATCACTGCCCAGGCCAAGGTCAGGTTGGCAACATGTTGACAACATGCACTTACATATGCGTATAGCGTGAGATGTTGCAATTGCTCATGTTGCCAACGAAACTGCACATGTTGCGTGTGGCTCGATCGCTGCCAGCTTCTCCTCCCGCGCTGCTGCTATTGCTGCTGTTGTGTGGGAAACAAGCTGCCAAGAGCCACAAACTGTAATTGTTGCGGCTGTGCGGGTCAAATGTTGTGCACGCAACATGCATACATACATGTTGACGTGACCAGGTAGACATGTTGCCCGGAAAACCACTTGAAATTAAAGGTCAGCCTGAGGTAGGCAGCCAATCAACAACGGCATGCTCGTAACTTTATAATCATTTTCAACACACTTTGCAATTCCCCCCCTCGCCCACTTTTATGCCTCTTTACCAGTGTCCCGCTGTTTCCTCTTCTGCTGCTGCTGTTTCTTCTTCTTTTGCTCCTTCTCTCCTTGGCAACATGAGCTCTAATAATCATGACTTGTTTATCTTTACGCTTCTACCTTCACACTCGCTACCATCTGGCCAAAGCACATTTGCTCAAACTCTTTCGTCTACCTACCCCATCCTTTGCCTATGCCTCCTCCTTTTCGTTTATCTGCTTCGCGTCACGTCTGGTAAGCTGCTTGCAGCGAAAATAAGTAGAAGAAGCTGAGGCAGCGCAACAAGCTGGCATTTAACGGTGTATGCTTCTCGGCTTCTTCTGCTTTTTGAAAGCATCTTTTTCACGCATTATTATCATTATTATTATTATGATCATTACAGCCTTAGCATTATCATCATCATCATCATCATCATCGTGATATAAGTGCAAAGCCATTGAACGTTTAGTTTTCAAGTTTTTCACCTTTTGCCAGACAATTTCTTAAGCAGTTCCATCCCTGGGAGAACCCTTTTCCACTCCATTCCAATTGCAACGGCATCTTTAAAGTTCATCTCAACATTTAATGTGGTTATCCTTGGCAAAAACACTTTCATTGCGCCTTCGCCGCATTACTTTTTGGTACTTTTCAACCTTAGACAGACGTTTCCTTATCGAGGGTGTTGCTAAAAATGCGTCGCTTGCAGTCGATTTCAGCCCCCGACCCCACGCCCCCCACCCGCCGAATTCACTCTTTTTCCCCTGCATTTTACTGTTTAGTGACTTGGAAAACCGGTTGTCCTTATTTTTATTTCATTTTTTATTTTGGCTGTTTTCAAGCTATTTTTTTTGGCACTTATCCAAGGTTACCTAAGTCTGCGCAAAAGAGTTGTGTGTGGAGCCAAGAGCTGAAGAATCGTTATGCCAATTAAAGTTTATAAAAATATTCCAAGTATTTCGAGGATACTTGAGGAGAAGTGTGTAAGAGGAAGAGAAGTTTAAGAGCGGGAGGAAAATATAACTGATTATTTGTTTGATCAGGCATTGGATTAATCTTAACAAGTAAGAGGTTCTAGTCGGGAGCTCCCGACTAGGGGTTACCCTGAACCCTCTTCTTCCAACATCAAATGAATATATATATTCTATTTTAGAAGCTATATTGTTTGGTGACTTTAGCTCTTTTTATTTACCAAAATTGCCCAAAAAACAGGATATCGATAACGATTTTTATCGATTGCTTGGAAACGGAGTAAGTTATCAATTATCGGAAACAAACTCGATCTGCGCAGGCCCTAGGAGCACCTACATCTCTCAGCTCTTATAGGTTCTGAGATCCTTGCGTTCATACATACGGACGGACGGACGGACAGATAGGCGGACATGGCTAGATCGACTCGGCTATTGATGCTGATCAAGAATATATATACTTTATGGGGTCGGAGATGCTTCCTTCTGCCTGTTACATATATTTGGATTTCGCACAAATACAATATACCCTTATACCCATTTTTAATGGGTTCAGGGTATAAAAATATACTAGCTGGAATTAATCAGTATTTCCTCGGCGCAATTCTTTACTTATAACCTCTGTCCACTGGAGTAAGAAATGTCACATTTTAAAATTTCACATTAATTTAAAATCCACCTGTTGTCGGTAACATGGGAGTGGCAAATGTACCACTTCTTTAAATAAACAGCTGATCGAGTTGCTTTAATTTACATAAGCACCGTAAGGTTTTTCTTCCAAAACTCAAAAGTTGCGCTCTCGAAGTAAGGGCTCCATTTTCGGTGCTCTTTTCGAGATTTCGCCAAGTTTAAATTCTAAAAACTGTGGGATTATTTTAATATTAAATTTCTTATTTAAAGTTACCGGTTGCTTTCGTTGATATATCAGATGTTTATGATTATGATACTTTACCATTTTTCACAACATCTATAGAAATCTCAATTAATCATCACAAAATACACGAAATGTTCGGGGCGAATTAACACATTTTTCAGAAATATGCCTTTTTTGAAAGACGTGTGAAATGTGTTTTTTTATGGGGAAACGCACAGGCCGCATTTCGCACATTTGCAAAAATGTGACATTTTCAGAAATGTTTAAGAAATTTGTTCAGTGGACAGAGGCTATTATATTATTTTTCAAAAACTGTTTCTCGAAAGCCTATTCAAAGGTCTTGCTGCCCGCTTCTATTTGTTTCTCTCATTATTTTATTATTCTCTTACCATATCTATAGAGATTACCTCCAGTTGCACCTCCAGTCCCCTTCTCATTCCTGCCTTATATCATGCCCCCTTCTCATTTTGCCAATCGGTTTGATCATACATAATGATTTTTCTTCTTCTACATCTGCTAGACTGCCATTCGCCATTATTGTCAAGGTCTATGGTCCGGGCTTGTCTCTGGGAACTGGGAGCAGTGATCTGGGTTTATTAACTTTTATGGCATCCAGCGATGCGTAAGCTGAGCGAATCGAAATGCAAGACCCAAGAGATATAAAAAAAATATGAAGCAAGAGCGAAAAACAGAAAAATATTGTACTATGAAAATGAAATTGAAAACGCTACGCATGCGTTTTCAATGGCTTTTCATGGGTTACTCAGATACGGTGGACTCGCTCAAAGCTATCGAATGACACAAAGCATAAAGGAGAAGGAAAAAAGTTGATGCCGCGAATGCGAGCGCTCCAAAGTAAAATGGAAAATTGCATTCACACAAAAGTGCAGCAGCTGGAAACGTGAGGTGAGGTAGCTGCCACACAATCCTACCTGCCCCCAACCCCCTCCCTTACCATCGCCCCTGCAACACTCCAGTCTATAGCGAAATGTGATCTGTGAGTAGTTTGCCTTTCTTTCAACCTATTTCCGTTTTTTTTTTTTACCAACTCGCGCGAGCCAATAAAAGTAGGAGCCAACGCAGCGGCCTCTGGCAGAAGTTATCCAGCTTTAAACGCATCCGAACGCCAGGATAAACGCCGCAGCAGCAGGATAAAGCGCCATTCGCCATGTCCGCACGCATATCGATTGCTGTATTGTGGCTTATTTGGGCCAGGCTAAAGACGGATGCATCCGCGGCCAGCAGCGGCGAAAGGTAAGCCACAAATGACAGCAACAGTCTCACAGTCGGGTGTAGACGAAATCGCCATGCTCTGTTCACAGTGTGTAAAAATGCTCAGAGTTCTCTTGATTATTGTGCGAGTGACTCTCAAACTGTAGCCACATAGCAGTGGCTTTTAAACTGCCAATAAAATAAACATAGCCAATACGCCCGTATTTCACTTTGTGACCAGAGCATAAGGACACTGTTGTGCAAATAAATTGCTGTGTATCTAAATATTCTTGCCCAGGGTCCACATACGTTTGCACATGCCGGATGTTGTGCGTCAGCATACGCATTTTCACAAGGTCTACAAGCACTTGCCACACCCACTGCCACCTCCTCAGCAGCTGGGGCCAGTGTCGGCGCCAATGGGCAAGCCGCATGTCTCGCTGCTGGGCTACACGACAACGGCTAGCGGTAGCGGGAGCATGGCGCCCAGTCTGAGGCAGCTAATGGCCACGCCTATGGCCATGCCCATGCCGATGCCCATGCCCATGCCCACGCTGACGCCCAACTATGGACCCGCGCTCTTCGATAGCTACAATCAGCAGCAGGCAGAGGCGGTCGCAGCGGCAGCGACGCCAGCGCCGACGATGGCCACAGTAAAGCTTAAGAGCAGCTCCACACGGCAGCAGCAGCAACTGCTGCAGCAGCTGTTCGCGGCTATTACAGCTGCGCAGAAGCAGCGCTTGGAGCAGCAACTGGAACTAGAACCGGAGCAGGAGCCGGAGCCAGAGCCGGAACCGGAACTGGAGAATAACGAGCTGCTCAATGAGAACTTCATGGCTGCACTGCAGCGCGAATATCTGTCAAAATTTGGCGGCAGTCAGCGCAAACGCAAGAAGGTAAACTTTGTGAGAAAACTGCGCGGCAAGCCGCAGCCGCAGCTGAGCAGCGAGGAGCAGTTCAATGAGTATCAGGAACCTTACCTGGAAGCAGCCAAAGCATGGACGGAACTAGGCGACAACCAGGATGAGAATGAGGATGACAGCGCGGCAGCATTTAGCGGGCAAAATAATGCGCTCAGTTCCGTATACAGTTTGGACGAGTTTCTCAATGATGTGGGTGGCAACGCCTTTGCGCCGCACTATGGCAGCATCTATAACGAATATGGCAACAATGGCTACGCTGGCAGCACTGGCCACACTGGCTACGCTGGCCATGCTGGCTGGCAATCCACGCCCACAGCTTTCAGCAGCTATGCGCGACGCACAAAAGCCACGCCCACACTTTCGAGAGCACGTCGACAGCGTTTACCCAACGAAACAGGTTCGGGCATGGGCAGCACTGAAGGAAGTGCCGGAAAAGTGCGCTACATCAAGTTGACAACGCGCAAGAAACGCAAAAATCGCATCAAAGCGAAAAGATATCGCATTTAGACATTACATACATATATAGACTATATATCATTATGAGAGGATATATGGAGACTATATAGGATTATGTTTATAGCTGTTTAGTTATTAGCTGTTAGCATACTTTTTGAGTCAATCTGCAGTCAAACTTCAATTCTTACGTTAGTATTAAATATTAACAATGTTATGTTTTGACGTTTTTTGTAGTAAAGATCTAATATATAATTGACATTTTTGAAGCATTTCTCAACACTTCAAGAGAATGCTGCTAAATAGAGTTGCCAACTGTTTTTAGCGAGCAGCAAAAAGTAAGCTTGGCTTGGACTCGGTTAGCAATACAGAGCTATTCTGTGAACACAGTGTTTCAAGACCCTGCAAAGCTATGCCAGCCTGTTGGTATTAGACAAAGTAGCTATGTTTTTCAAAGCAGAGTTGCCAGCTATGCTGAAGAAACTGTCTTTAAGATTTAAGGTTTCAGTTAAATGGGTACGAATAGAAAATAAAACGAGAAAGAAAGGCTATATTCGGCAAGCCGAAGATCTAATACCCTTGCAGACCCAACATTTTCATAATGCTTATAGAGCTTTTCCCGTATCTAAGAAGCTCAGGGAAAATAGTTAATGCCGAACTTGGTCAAGATATCTTGATGAACAAAAAAGATTTTTAATCAAGAACCTTGTTTGCGAACGATCGTTTCTACGGCAAATATATGATATAGTTGTCCGATGTAAATAAGGTTTTGCAAAAATGAAGGGAGCATAGTGAAATCCTTAAATGCCGTGTTTAATCAAAATATCTTGAATGACAAACAAGTTTTCCATACAACAACTTGATTTTCGACCGATCGTTCCTATGGCAGCTATATAATATAGTAGTCCGATCTTAATAGGATTTTGCATATATATGAGGAGTATAGTAAAACTAATAAATGCCGAGTTTGGTCAAGATATCTTGAAAATCAAAATATTTTTTCACACTACAACTTAATTTTCGACTGATCGTTCCTATGACAGCTATATGATATAGTGGTCCGATCCAGCTTGTTTTGACATATGTGCTGCGTGCAACAGAAAGAGGGACTTCTGCAATGTTTCATAAAGATAGCTTTAAAACTGAGGGACTAGTTCGCATAGAAACAGACAGACGGACATGGCTATATCGACTTGTCTGTTGATGCTGATCAAGAATATATATACTTTATGGGGTCGGAGATTTCTCCTTCTATGCTTTACACATGTCACGAAAAAATTATAATACCCTCTGCAAGAATATAATGAACTAGTTACTCTAAGCAAATAAAGTTAGGTAGATTCTTAAGGAATCTTATATAGTTTTTGTCAACATTCTTTAGTCTATAAAGTTGAGTTAAGTACACAAATTTCTTACTCGTACTTAAGGAGATATTTTACGATATTTTCATTCGCAATCACTTACCTGTAAAGAGATAAAAGTTATAATAGAAAAGTTAGTCAAATTAAATGGTAAATATTTCTAGAGCGCAGCACTTAAATAATCATAGTAATTGCGAGAAACAATTCCATGATGCCTTTTTCATCTAGTCTCTAGCCCTGGAATTGCTCATCCACAAACAAAACATTAAATGGCCGAACCCTGCTATTCGGGCCAGGGCAAGTATATAAAGGAATGGAACCCCGAAGTTTCTTGGGAAATAAAGTATACGATTAAATGTGAGCGGGAGAGAGAGGAAAAGGGAAAGCAAATAATAAGTACAAATGCTAATAAAATTCAATTAAAGGCCACAAAATTACAATAAAAGTGGCTGGAAAACTAACTCGGCAAGGGTCGCCGGTCAGGATTGTGGTGCGTACTCGTCTAGGAGAGGGCTAGGTTGCGGCGGCGGGTGTCACATGAAAAGTCAAAATTAACGACTCATTTGGGCAAATTGAAGCCATAAACTACAACGCAGCAAAGCTATACGCCCGGCCGAGACATGCCACAGTATCAGCAGCCAAGACTAGCAAAGGAAATCCAATGCAAGAACTTCAACCCCCAGCCCGAAGCTCTGACGTCACTCTGCACAGCAGCCAAAATATAAATTACGCACAAAATTCCAAATGAGTGACGAGCAGGCATTAGGGGGAGGGGAGACAGGGTTATAGGATGGGGTTACCACTGCACTCGGAGGTGGATTTAAAGGGGGGACGCTTGTTTATGTCCATGGGCTCATCCTTTATTTTCGTTTTTGGCAATAATTTTTACTACATCGCGCTCTAGCTCATAAAAATGTGTCATACAAAACGCTTCGTTCTCCGTTTCGCAGTTTCTCTTTCTCTATTTCTCTGCCTTTCTCTCTCTCTCTCTTTTCCATTGCTCTGTTATGTCAAACATTTGCTGCATACTTTCAGGCGATATTAAAAGCGTGCAAGATTTTCATTTGTATAACTGTGTATTTGAGAGAATAAGAGAAAGAGAGCGAGAAACAGGGGTAGAGTGGGCGTGAGAGGGACGCCAAATTGCCCGTCTGGCAAGGCTTTGGGCTCTGGTATGGGCATGGCATCTGGCAAGGCCAAACATAAAGTGTTGATGTGTCAACCAAATGACATTTATTGTTTAGGGGGGCGGCAAGGAGAGAGGACACAATTTCTCTGGCTCCATGCAAACGTTTATTATGGCCGCCAGATGGCGTCAACGTGCCGCGACAACAGGCAACAAGTGGCAACGCCGAGCGTAGCCAGAGGCAAAGCAAGCACGTCAAAGGATAGAATTCCACCTTGTGCATATATGTGGGCGCATAGCTGACCCGCTTGCTTGGCGGCCATATTTGCCATGGTCTACTTTTCCAATTCATTTGATTTACAACGGAAATGAGAGAATTTGCATATGTAAAGCCCTCGATATATGGCTGTTTTATATGGTCGAAACATAATTGATTATTTGCAGATGATCTACGAGTTATTTTGAAATGAATGTGTGTCTGTTTGGGCTGGAATTGGATTGCGGGACTTCTAATACGGATTTTTGACGATATTTGAACAGATTTAATCCTCACGAAGTTGAGGATTCAAAGTATACACAGCTTTCAAAATAAATAATAAAGAAAATGCGTCAACAAGTTTTTTTTAGTAGCTAATCAAATAATCACACAAATTTCCAACACTGTCAGCAGTTTATTCAGTACTAAAAGCCTGAGCCTTGGCAAAACGAAATGGGAAGCACTTGCTTTAAAATGTATATCTTTCAACAGATTTAGAAGATTATTATGGTAACACTCTACAGATATTGACAGTCTCTTTAACAATGTCATTAGCTGGCTGCACTGATTGCACTTTGTTCAGTATAATTTTAAGCCAAGCTGGCAGTACTTTATTTCGATCTTAAAATGACTCTATTACATTGGCAGCACTTAATTTAGATTTTCAATTGGCTGAAGTTGAGTTTTTAATAACTTTTAAACAAGTAAGCAGCAACAATTGAGTTGGCAGCTCAAAAAATTGACAAATGAGCTGCATTTAAGGGAAAGAAACTATTGCAATGATATCTAAAACTATCTACCTTTTTATTTATATATGTAAAAAATTTTCCGGTTAAGTGAAACGTTTATCGTTGTCATTACATTCTGGCCTTTGTTTAATAAAAGTGCCATAATATGCGATCAGAAAAACCATCAATGGAAATTTGTGCGTTTCAATTTCCATTGATGGCTTTTTCCTTTATTTATAATTCCAACCCAACTTTATAAGTCTCATAAAAGATGTACACTGTACATATATCCATATATATATATATATATATATATATATATCGTATATTCTCATGTATATCATTTTATGTATTCGCAATACAAAATTAAATTTCCAGCTGTGTTCTCTTTTTTTTATCGCCACTCTCAGTGACAACAATAAATGAGATGAATAAATAAATAAAACATTACCACTGCAATTTCGACGCACTGCACATTTGTCTTTCGAGGTGGGCTGGGAGGATTTTCTAGTCTGCCACGCCTCCTTCGCCTAATTTTGTTAGAGAATGATTAGAAAATGCCATCGGGCTCTGTGGTGAGCATAAAAATTGCAATGGCAAACAATTCATTAATTTAATTAATTTGTGGCAATTAAATGGCGAATGGGGGTTGCTGCGGGTGGTGACTGGATTGTTCTGCCACGTGGGGCAACCAGAAAAGCCGCACAGTCATCATTAACTCAACGCTCGAGTCATTATTTATACGCATATATCTAGAGTTCTACACCCCCCTCTCTCTCTCTCTCTCACTGTCTCTTTTCTTTTCAACCTGGTCATCATCTGGGGGCCCATCGATTCCCCAGGACACGCCCCCGCTTATTGTTGCCTGGCACAAAAATGGGTTAAGTGTGTTCCATGACCGTTTCGTAGCGCAGATAACGACAAGCTGGGCCTTATTGTTCGAGGTGTTGAAATGTGGCACTTAGCTGGGAGGCAGATGCAACAATAACATTTATTTACGATACACAAAAGAACAAGATGTGGATGAAGAAGAGCGGCGATAACGTGTACCTTCAAACTAAGAACACACTTCAGATACTCTTTAATTGCTTGTCATTGCGACGCCTCGGAATGATTCAGCTCGAAATGTGATTAAAGAGCGTTTGGCGCTTGAGAGAAATATAAAATAATTGGGGGTTTCAGAAACATTTTTTTTTTTTTAATAATTATTTCTGTTGTAGCAACACTTATAACAGTTTCAGTTTTAGGCGCAGAAAGCGTTTACGAATGCGACACAAAGCGGAATATAAGAAACAAATGCTCTCGCGAGAGAAACTCAAGGCGAGAGACTGAAAGCCTACTTTAGAGATCGCAGAAAGACAAATATGTAAGAACTTTTATGCTTTGATTAAACAAGTAAAGAAACGGTTCAGTGCTGTGTAACTCTAAAAAGAATGAAATTCTTTTGTAAACACTGTGAAAATTAAACAAAATCTATCGAATATTTACTTTGAATAGACACAGAATGCATTTAAACAAACTCATTAAAAAATTAGGAAAATTTAAAAAACATTAAGTTTTATAAAAACATCTTTAGAGTGAAA